CCAGGGCTGCCGGCCATTGTCCGAGCTGCTCTCCTCCTTTGCCACTGAGCCCTTGGGCTGGCAGCCCTTCTCCAGCTCCTGCAGCTGCTGGCGACACTGATGGAGCCTTCGCTCTATCTGGGCGATGGTGGCAGAGGCCCGCTGGTTCACCTTCTCGAAGGCCTGGCGGATGTGCAGGGCCTGGCGCTGGTCGGCTTTGGACACCAGCTTGAGGTAGCTCACAGTGTTCTGGTCCCGGCTGGCCTTCTCCACTCTCAGCTGCTCTAAGAGGTAGAGGGTGCGGTGCTTGATGCTCTTCTGCAAGTTCCGGGCCATCTCGCCATGCAGCAGGCTGGAGTGGTCGCTGAAGCCCTCCTTGCTGGGTGACAGTGATCTGCACGAGCGAATGTCGGAGGGAAGGGTTGCACTTGGGCTCTTGATGTATTCCTCCTGCATGGCGAAACAAATAAAAAAAATCAGGTACTCCGTAAGCTGCCAAATAGTAGGAGAATTGAACACACGATTGCCTCACTCTATAAAAATACTTACACGTATGCAGAGATACTTATGTGTGTTAAGATTTATGCATTTGAAATGGGCCCAGCACAGACCGGAGAAGTTAATTTCATCTTCCAGACCTCTCTTCCCTCCTTTACAGCACCCGACTTCTTGCTTTATGGGTGTACCTCACAACGACCCCAGATGGCTAGAGTACCCCCTCCACACACACCCCTTCTGTTCTTGGGCTTCCTCTCTTCCAAGAATTATCAACTGTGCATCTCATTTTATTAAAAACTGTTCTTGTAAAGTAGGGAATAAACTCATTCCCATTAAGCCATACTTCTTGCTGTATTGCTACTGTGGACTGAAGGGTCTCGGGTTCGAGTCCAGTCAAGTGCACGTACCTTGGTTGCAGGCTCAGTCCCCAGCCCTAGTCAGGGCAAGTGCGAGAGGCAACCAATCGATGTTTCTTTCTCTGTCTCTCCCCCTCCCTTCCATTCTCTCTCTCTAAAAAAAAAAAAAATCAATGGAAAAAAATATCCTCAGGTGAGGATTAACAACAAAAAGGATAGTCAGAGAGCTTTGCAACTTAGCAGGTTTGTTCCTTTATCCAGTCTTTCATTCAACACATACTTCCTAATTGTCTACTGTGTGTTACAGAAGCCAGATACATTCCTTGTTCTCATAGAGCAAGCATGTCAAACTCGCGGCCCACGGGCCACATGCAGCCCACAACGAATATTTTTGTGGCCCAGCCAATATAATGGTATGTAAGAAAAATTTTAATAAAAATTTCATAACTTAATTTTTACAATATCCTTTTACATAATTATTAACAATGAACTACAACGTTCACTAATGACTGATTACTATAATCGTGTTGCATCATTTCCCTTATGTGCCTTACCCACAGGTGCACCATTTCTCTCCACTAATACTAGCAGCGAATATTTTAGCAGCCGATGGCCACATCATTAGTCTTGGACTGACTTGTTTGGTGTGCACAACAGGAAATATTTCGCTTTCGGAGAACAAGAAAAATAGGTTTATTTGTGTGACGCTTTTATTAATTTGGGCAGTTATTCAGTGTCTGGTAAGTTATGTTCAAGAAAAAATATTAATTTTTATTAAAATGTTCTATTACTTTATGTGAACGATGACATTTATTTCAGCCCTTTGTATTCAGCCTGTCTCTATCGACATAAACCTACGTTTCTATGAAAATTGAAGCTTTTGGGGGTTTTTTGTGGTCCACCTAAACTTAAACCTTGCCTATTTGGCCCATGTTAGCTTTTGAGTTTGACATGCTTGTCATAGAGCTCATAGTCCAGGATGGAAAATTATATTGTGACACAAATGAATGAGTCTCTCACATGGCGAGGAATGAGAGAAAGGGTCTACCACTCTGGGGCCTCTCAAAAGTTTGCTTGGGAGAGGCATGGGGGACATCTGTAATACTGTCAACAGTCAAAATATATATACTTTTAAAAATTCGCTGAGCCCGGCTTTAAACTATATTTGTATATACCATTGGTAAAAGGAAATAGGAAATAGGGAAAATTAAAGTTTGCTAATGACTTGTTCTGTTGGGGAATTTTATAGATATCACATCAAACTCAAAATTGAGAGAAAAATGTTGGCGAAAAAAATTAAAGGTGCCCTGGCCTGTGTGCTCAGTGGTAGAGCATCAGCCCATGCAGAGAAGGGTCTGTCTCAATTCCTGGTCAAGGTCACGTACCTTACAAGTTTGTTCCTAGGCCCCTAGTCAGGACACATGCTGGATGTCTCTCTCTCCTTCCTCCCTTCCACTCTTTCTTTAAAAAAAAAATAATTTAAAGGTAACCAAAAGAAAAGAACAAAAACAAAAAACAAAAAAAATTTAAAGGTAACCACTCAGGAAAAGCCAGGTATGTAACATCCAAATAACCAAAGGGAGACATAAAATGGAACCTGAGTACTCAAAAAAAAATGAAGGAAAGGAGGAAGAAAAAGAAAGATCTTTTGTTAAACTGAAAATATAAAATAGGATGTCAGTAAGATGTGATTATCAATGACTATATACCAGTGATGACGAACCTGTGGCACGCGTCAGAGGTGACACGCAAACTCATTTTTTTGGTTGATTTTTCTTTGTTAAATGGCATTTAAATATATAAAATAAATATCAAAAATATAAATCTTTGTTTTACTATCGTTGCAAATATCAAAAAATTTCTATATGTGACACAGCACCAGAGTTAAGTTAGGGTTTTTCAAAATGCTGACACGCCAAGCGCAAAAGGTTCGCCATCACTGCTATATACCACGTACTTGAGGAGGAGACTCAAAACCATAAATACGTTAGCCCTCTACATATTGACCTATAAATTCAACAAAATCCCAATTAAAAACGCAATGGGCCCAGCCAGCGTGGCTCAGTGGTTGAGTATCAACCTATGAACCAGGAGGTTCCGGTTTGATTCCTGGTCAGGGCGTATGCCCAGGTTGCAGACTCGATCCCCAGTGTGGGGCGTGCAGGAGGCAGCTGATCAATGATTCTCTCTCACCGTTGATGTTTCTATCTCTCTCTCCTTCTCCCTTCCTCTCTAAAATCAATAAAAATATATTTTTTTAAAAAATGGGAATTTCTTATGGATCTTAAAAATAGTTGATTTCAAATTTTATTTGGAAGAAAAAGTGCAAAAAAAAGCTAAGAAATTTTTGCAAAAGAATAATAAATATGGTCTTGAGACAATTGGCTTTTTGAAAAAAATTAGAGTGTTTCCTGATAATCATATCTATAATAATAAAAACGTAATATGCTAATTAGACCAGACGTCCTTCCTTCTGGACAAAGCCGCGGCAGTTGGGGGCCAAGGCAGAGGTGGCCACTGCCGGCAGCAGTGGCGGGGCCCAAGGCCCTTGCACAAATTTTGTGCATCAGGCCTCTAGTGTAAAGTTGGGACAGAATAAAGAATTAAGCATAAAAATGAAACTGTAAAAGTGTTAGGAGGACATGGTAGGAATATTTTTATAATCTTTGCATAGAAAAGATCTTTGTAAACGACTCAAATAAAAATGCCATAAGATTTACATATTTTACCGCATAAAAGTGTTTTAAAACATTCTTATGGGGAGAAAAAAAAAAGCATAAAGTTAGATTTTGGTTCAAACACTTGCTTCTTAAAAATAACGTATCTCAACTTTTTTTTTAAAAAGCAACAGATTGAGGGGGAAAAAGATTTGCTATATCTCTAATAGATATAGCAAAGAAGTCTTACAAATTAGGAAGCTAAAGAGAAAGAATCCAATGTAAAAACAATAAGGGATAGCAATAGACAATTCGGAAACGATAGATCACGGACGGTAATAAACGCACGAATGGCTATAATCTACTGCAAGGATCTTGGGCAAACGTAAACCAAAGCATTTGCTAAATATGATTTTCTCATCCATCAGAATGTCACACATTTAAAAGGCTAACAATAGCCAGTGTGGATGATGTGAGGAAATGAGCACTCGTGTTTTTTGTAAGTAGGATCACACATAGGAGCAGGGTTTTTCTCGAGCAGTCAGAGGTATCGATGAAAAATGGCAATGCCCTTTAACCGAACAAGAACGGAATCGGCTTGCGATCTAGCCGCGTTCAGGGACAATGGCGCTTTCCGGAGCTCGGCAGTTTTCAAGATGCTTCCCAGTGATTCAACGTGAGGTATAATGTTGTGGACATGGTGCGGCTGGGAGCCAGGCTGGGTCTTGGTAGCCGGTCTCAAAATCCGAGAGACATGAGGTCTCCGAGACACAGTGTGACCTTCGTACAGATGGGGACCTTCATACAGAAAGTCAACGGGAACCCCCTCAAGTCAGGCTCCCTGGGAAAGCTGCTGGCCAGCGTTAGGCTAATGCCACCTAAACTCTCACATGGGTCGTACCATACCCAAGATTCTGGAAAGAAAGGTCAGCACAGAGACACCTGCTGCCTCGGAACCCTCAGCCTGCCTCCTGTGCTGAGAAGTCGACCTAGGAACCGGACTGCTATTGGGTGCAAGGAGGGTGTACCCCAAAATTGTAAAATTACGGCGTACTCTTTTAATAGTGTGATAAAATGTGCAAAACAAACTTCAGCATTGTAACTGTTTTTAAAGTGTGTGAATCGAAAACTACTTTACTACTTTCGCCATCTTGCCGCCTACCAAACAAAGTATCCAGTTCCAGACCTTCTTCATAACTCAAAAGTAGATCCTGGACCCCTGTACAACCATAAAAGTAGACCCTGAATTCGCGTACAGAGGCAGCCCTCTTTGAATTAATAACACGAGGGAAGCTATAAAGAAATTAACTGATTTTGGAAAATATCATATATGCAAATGAAATTTATATGCAAATGAAAAATGTTCAAAATCCACTTAATTGGGGCGCGCGGAGGGATCCACGCGCGCGCGGAAGGTTCTTCGCAGAGGGAGCCGGTACAGAGGCCTATAAAAGCCTGAAGCGCCCCACTCGACGCCATTTTCTCTTCAGACTCTGTCTGGGCAGCAGCAATGGCTGAGGCTGAGGTGAACGTTCCCGTGCCGGAGGAAGACAAACCTGATGCGGATACTGTGCAGGTGCTTCGGGACCTGGCCAATCGCCTGCGCATCCATTCCATCAGGACCACGTGTGCCTTGAGCACCGGGTAAGGCGCCTTCTTCGAAGCCAAAGTGGCTCCGGCTCGGGGCTGCAGGCCTAACGGTCATGAAGTGAACCATTAGGCCCGGTTTGGGCCTACTGGGGTTTGGCTTCCGTTTCAGGCGCCAACTAAGCGTGGCTGTGGCCTCACTGGTTCACTTAGTGCCCAGCCACGTGCTCCGGCACTAGCCGCTCACCCCGGGAACCCA